TACCATTTGGGTAATATGCGTACTTTAGCATATGCTTCCGGTAAGTTACCGTGACCGTAGGCTTCATCGCGTAAAGCTAAATCATCTGCTGCCATTAGTGATACGACCAATTCATTACGTTCTGCGTGGTACCAAACTTGTATCTGGACACGTCCACTGACTTGCTTCTCTCGCATTATTTGTTCCTATTATTTATATTTTTTGTTTTTGTTATTATAAAAGAAAAAATTTATTAGTAAATATTTGAGATTTTTATGGAATCAAGTTAAAAAATTTACAGTTTATATTTAATTAAATATATACAATATTTTTTTTAGTTGAAGTTCTATACAATTTTTCTCTCGCATTTTTGTACATAATTTTACACTTATTTATATTGGTTAGCACTTGTAACGAATGCTTTGGTTATATATTATATAAATTTGTATATATATATATATAGTTGTGGTTTGAGGTAGAAGTTTAGAAAAGTGGTTGTAATTTTTGTTATGTAAAATAAACCAAAAAATTAAGTTTGCAAAACAGAAAAAATATGAAAAGTATTAGGTGTTTTGTTTACAAAAACATAATTTAATAAAAATAATTAATAAAAAATTATATTAAAGCATAAAAGGCAAATTAATTAAAAAGAATAACAATTACTTATACATAGCATTAACAGATTCATGCTCTATGGTTACAATTAATTATGTATACTGTTAGGCAATTATTATAGTTAAAAAATAATTATCTATATATATATAATTTTATCTATATTAAATACAATATTAATGGAAAGACTTTTTGAACCTCAAATTAATTTATTATAATAATAATAGATTGCCCAATTTAAAAAGCTTTCCTTCAGTTATAAAACAAAACAAATATATATAACAGAACTAGAAGACTATTTGCGATGGCTGCAACGTGACAACCTGTGGTAGAATAATAATTGATGAATAATAATGCCGTTCGACTTTCAAATTTTTGACGAAACCTAAACAATGTTAAAATATTCAAGTAATAAAAATCCAATAATCAGAAAATAAAATTATATTAGATTCTGAAATCTAATGATCAATACAATATTATTTAACACACTGAGCATCCATGAGTATATTTTAGAAAGTTTTCAATGCCATTCTATTGGATATTCTCATTGAAAAAATATTTTCTTAATTTTATGAATAATGCTTTAAACTGGAGTATAGAGAATTTTTAACTAATTTCACGGTCAAAATTATTTTTAATAATTATACAACAAGCGGCCTTATGCTCCTCCTAGGAGTTGAAGTATTAAATATATATATAACAAAAAACGAAGCTTAGTATCTGGGTATTTACCACAACAGAAGGTTGACATTGAGCCGAAACGAAAAAAGTAAAAGATATGAAAACTGAAATTCAGTCGGCTCCATTGGCTCATGAATTGAAATCATATGTTAAGTCTCGAAAATAATTGTCAACTGTACCCTTAATAACAGCTATGAAATTAATTAATGGTGCTGAGTGCAAAGCAATATTATTCGAAAAATGATCGAAAACCTATGGTATACAAAAATTTAAACAATTATAAAAACCTAAACAAAATGTTCAAAGTTTTTTAATATTCCAATTCTTATGCTAGACAGTTTTTTTAGTGTCAGAGCTTCGTGTGAAAAAAAAGTTTTATTGTTCTGCTGATGTCAAATTTTAAAAACACGTTATATATCTCTATTATCAACATAATTATATATATATATAATATATATATATTGAAGCTCCAGTTTGTTGTACTATAATATAATTATATATATAATATATAATATATTAATATAGTACAACAAACTGGAGCTTCAAATTTGTTGTTATTATTCTATATACATAAAAATAATTCAATAAAAACGAAGTAATTAAAAAAATAATTTTTTTAATTGGCCTACTTTGAATTAAGAGATACTGGTCTAACGCATTTTATTTTAAAAATAAAGTATCCTTAAAAATTGAGAATCAGCATATGAAATAATAGAAACTATATCTTAGTTAATGAGGACCATTTCATATAATGAAAATTTTCTACCCCAAACGAAAACACAGATAAAATGCAGTAAATATTTTTGAAGGATCCTCTAATAATCAGAAGAAGTTCTTAAAACAGAAGTTACTTTGGTTGATCTCATATGAAAATATTGTACCAAGAATCAATCATGGTCTTCTTAATTGAAGAACTGGTTGAAGCTGCACGCACTTGCTAGATTGCATTTGAAAAACAATATCTCAAGATTTAAATATAAAAGCAATTTTTCTAACAAATGCTTAGAAAAATCTTTCGGTTTGATGAATGTTAAATGAAGATATTGAACTCACAGGATTTCTAAATAAAAATATAAATATGTTATGTGCAAAAACTTCACGAAATGTATAATTTAAAGAATTAACGTATATGAATTTCTGTAAAAATTTCCGATGCTACCTAGTGCGTTTAGATTAACTGATTTTGATATTATACTTTTAAACGTTCTGCGATGGCATACATTCATCGTAGTGTATGAGTCTTGAGTAATGAGAGGTATTTAGATGCTTCCATTATCATCCTCTATAAGAGTCTTCTTCGTGATTCTGACCACACAATCTACAACAAAACTAGCCCCCGTATGTGGCAATAGCCTCACTTCCTCCACCAACATTCATTCTTTCTGTACTATTTTTATGTTTTCTGGTTTAGATAAACCTTTAGTAAACTTCTATGTACCAAGCCTTTTTATATCAACTCTCTCTCTCTCTCTCTCTCTCTCTCTCTTTCTCTTAAATACTGAAGAAAAGTTTTATATTCTGCTCTCTGGGTCAGTAATGGAATCTCTCTATTTATTCATAAGAAATTGTTGATGCTTTCTGCCTAGTGCCAAAAAAAATTGTTTTTAATAAAACACTCTTCGAGTGTGAACGCCAAATACTGTACTCATCTGATATGGTTATAAAACTACAACTTTGAGAACGGCGGTCTGAGTCAATTGTGATCATGAAAAATCATACACTGCAGGAGTTGAAGGCTATGCTCCAATCAGTGTACAAGAAAACTATAAAGAAATGGCTCAACCGTTGACAGAATTATATAGCAATCGATGGAGATTATTTTGATGGCAACAATATAAATATTGGTTGGTTTTGGTGTTTATTATGTATATTTTACACAAAAACTATTTTCAACTAAAAACAATTACTAGTTATATTTGATTAAATATACAATAGTGTTTTTTGTGGAAAATTGATCTAACATATATTCTTATCAAAAAAAAAATTATTTCGTAAAAATTTAAAATTTTAAAATTTACAATCATTTTCGTGTATATTACTGAGATTACAAATTGTGTTTTAAACCAACAGATATCGTATCAATTTAATAAATCTCAGTACACAATAGCAATATTGCTGAAACTATCGATGTATCCATTACAGTGCGATATTATCGAAAGTTTTCACAACCCAACGAAGCGTAGGACGCTTGCTTTATAACAACTCAATAACTCGATATGAACTCATAGTTTACATATTCCATATTCCATATTCCGGAACTCGTGTTCCCCATTACACCCAGTGTATGTGTATTCTATATAGTTTGTGTGTTTATTTCTGTGCCATATTGCAATTATTGTGTTTTATTCAAGTTATTGTGGTTTAAGTTTCAGCAATTTTGTTTGTATGCGTATTAGTTTTAGTTTTCCGGCTGAAATTTTTTTATGAAATTTTCATTGAGTAGCGAAAATACTTGCTTTGTTAGAAAACCTCATGGGACGCACAGAAGCAAGGCGGATTATGGCGAACAGTTTTCACTGATGTGTGCAGTTTATTTTTTATTAAAAATACTAAAATTTTCGGTTAATACGAAAATCGATAAAAAAAATATTGAGATTTTATAAACTAAATAAAGCAACATATAGTGGAAAGGTTTGAGGTGTGTTGGATTTTAGATTTTTGGCAATTTATTGCTTTCATTGGTTTTTGTATAAAACTCGCAATAGAGAATTTATATATTGGAAATACGATGAAAAATTTATAACTAAATTGGAATACACAAAAAGATTGAATATTTTAATTCTAAATAAGTTAAACAAAGTTTTTTAACAATTGCTTAAAATTTATTTGGAATATATTAAGTAAAAATAATTGTATTTTATATAACTCGATTAAAATTTTTTTTATTGTATTTATTCTATATAAAAAGTAACTTAAATTATTATATACAAAATAATCATCACTAAATCAAAATCCCATCGAATGTTATATAACTATGACAGCACTTCATCTAATTCTTCATATATTTTTAGTGGGTTGATTGAGATATGACACCTAACTCCATATTTTGTTTTAGATGCCCAAAAAAAAATTTTCCTTTTTAAATGAGAGAAATAGACTACGACTCCGAACAATTTTTTCAAAAGAAATAAATTTCTATTATTTTTTATGTACTTTATATTTCTTTTCTTAAAGATTCTGAGTTTTTGGGTAAGGAAAGACTTCACTTCCATGTTAAAACAATGGAGTAAACATGGCTGTATTATAAATTATGAGTTTAAAATAGCTTAAGTGGTTAACGAAATTTATTAAAAATTGTAATGCTAGATTATCATCTCAAAAAGAAGTTTTTAAGTACATGCTATATCTATGACGAGTTTCGTCAAAGATATGGATGAGAGATTTTGATATTTTAAATGCTGAAGTCTAAGGTACACATATAAGCAAAAAGTGGACGAAATTCTTTTATTTTGAAGAATATTAAAAAAATAAAGGAGATAGAGAATAAAAACCACTCCCTGATAAGAACGAGGTATTACTTAATAAAGGAGGCAATAAGCCCATTCACAACTGGTTAACTTACTCTAATAATAACTAAAAATAAGTGTTCTTAGAGTTAGTCTGCTATATTTATTGCTAGGCGGATACATACTATTAATTACTGACTTAAACCGTGCAAAGGCCCATGACCGCCCTGTATATTGTGACTCCAGATGCTATATCCTGGTTGAGTATATAAAATATTAAATTATTTATGTCGTGCCTATACAATTGTGTAGTTTTTATTTATTAATTGTACATTTACATACGTTAAATAGTATTAAATGTCGACTATTTTGATACTCTAAGTGTTCATTACTATATTTCTAGTAGTATCTAGTAGTATTTTTGTTTTTATTAGTTTTTATATCATATAACAGCAATAATAATAATT